CAAACAAAAAGTAAGCCCTGGTGAGACGCCACCACCATCAGGTTCAAAGGCATGTGTTGTTAATCCCAGCACTCAAGAGGCAGAAGCAGGCAGATCTCTGTGAGTTTGAGGTCAGCTGTCTCTAGAGAATGAGTTCCAGGCCAGTCTGGGGGGAAAAACAACAACAACAACAAAAACAAATAAAAAAGCAAAACAAATGTACAAACAAAAAGTAAAAACAAAACAAAAAGGTGGCGGTGAGGTGATCTGGAGATGCGTCACTCCTAATAGCAACTGTGTGCAAGCATGGGGACCTGATTCTGGATCCCAGAAACCAGGTAAAAAGTCACGCAGGAACATATGTGCACCTGTAACCTCAGTGCTCTGGGGGATGGGAATGGGGAACAGGAGGGTCACCAGGGTTTGCTGTCCAACCACTTAGTTCTAGGCTATCTCCCCCTAAAAAAAAACAACCCAAACCTTGACCCTTCAGTCAGGAACAACAAACACCAAGTGTGGGGGCTCATGTCTGCAGCCCACGCACTTGTGAGGTTGAAGCCAGAAGACTGGTAAGTTCAAGGCTAGCCTGGGTTACAGAGTGAGACCTAATTGTTTTTTTTCTTTAGGTTTTTCGAGACAGGGTGTCTCTGTAGCTTTGGATCCTGTTCTGGAACTAGCTCTTGTAGACCAGGCTGGCCTCAAACTCACAGAGATCTGCCTGCTTCTGTCTCCCGAGTGCTAGGATTAAAGGCAGTCATCTCGTCAGCAAGAGGTCCTGGGTGTCATCCCCAGATCACAAAATTCTCCCAGGGTTTCTGAGACCAGAGAGAGTGTCTGAAACAACCAACTCACACACATTATAATAACAAAGTGCCAACGATCCTGCTTCTCAGAGGAAGGCTGAGAGGACCAAAGGAGTGGGCATCTTTTACCCAAAGCTACACAGTTGGCAAGAGGAAAGCTGTGGCCTGAACTTTGAACTTGGGACTGCTTGTCTTCAAGCTGTGTTCTATTCCCACTTGAAGGGCCCTCTTGCTGCTGTGTCCAGAAAACCAGCTTTTCCGAGGGTGAAGAAAGTGGGCTGGCTCCTTGTGCCTCTCAGTCCAGCCTGACAAGAGTGAGCAGGCTGGTTTCTGGCTGTGTCATACCTGTGTTTCTCTTCATATCCCAGAGGGTCCGCTTAGTCAAGCCTGGGTGTTGGAGGTAAAGCCTCATTTGCCCATTCAGCAGTCTGTACAATGGGATCATCAGAGCAGGTACCTCCTGGGATTACGGTAAAGGGTAAACCAAAGAACAGACTTAGTATCCTGCACAGTCAACAATATTAGCTGCTATCATCCATGCCCAGGCCTTGCTCTTGTGGGACTTTGGAAGGTGTTGGGAAAACACACATTTTTGTTTGTCATTTTTATTATGTTTTAGACAGGGTCTCACTAAGTCGCCCTGGTTAGTCTGGTACTCACTACGTAGAGCAGGCTGGCCTTGAATTTTTGGATAATCCCCCTACTTCTGTTTCCTAAATGCTAAGATTACAGACACGTGCCACCACGCCGTGCAGAAATTTTTTTTTAAAGGTTTAAATTAATTTATCTATTTGTGTATGAGGAAGTCACAAAGGTCAAAGGACAACCTGAAGTGTTGGCTCTGTGTCTCCAAAATGCTGGCTCCGGGAATTCAACCCAGGTCATCAGGCTTAGCAGCAACACATTTTTATGCCAAGTCATCTTACTAGTTCTAAAAATACATTTTTGAAACAAGATTACAAAATAACACATATAGATAATTTAATAATAAAAAATGTTGGGAAAAACCCAACATCCTTCTTTTCCTAGCTATTTGGGAGGCAGAGGCATGAGACTGAGTTTGAGGCCGGCCTAGGCAACCCAGCAAGCTCCTTTTGGTTTGTTTTAAAGTGGAAAGGGTGTTGTGAACTGCTGTCCACTGGACGTGACAGCATCATGACACTCAAGAGCGCACAGCAGCTACCATCATCTGCACAGCGAGATCCAGCCACTCCACAGTCCAGTATGGATGCGAGGACTTGGAGGGCTCCCAAACTAGCTGAGGACCGATTGACTGTTAATGGCTGCCGGGGGAAACCGAGTCATTTTTCTTGGAAGGTGTGGCCACTGGCAGAGTATCCATGCTCAGGTGGATACCCCACACCAACAGGCACAAACAGCACCAACTGGACTCAGTGAGTTATTAGAAAAATAAAAAGATATGAGATGCGGGGTGGGGTAGGGGAGAAGTACGGGGGTAGGTATAAAAGAGAGCATTTTGATTAGATGTGATCAAGGTTCACTATATATAGGAATAAAAAGTTTTCTAAAAACTAATAAGTAAAAAATAAAAGAGAATGCCAGGCAGTGGTGGCATACACCTTTAATCCCAGCACTCGGGAGGCAGAGGCAGGTGGGTCTCTGAGTTCGAGACCAGCCTGGTCTACAGAGAAACCCTGTCTCAAAAAACCAGAGATAGAGAGAGAGAGAGATAAACAGCAACCAAAGAAAACTATTATATATATGTAGGAGACCCCCGAAGGAAATGTTGGTGGTTCTCTCTCTATCTCTCTTTAAGACAGGGTTTCTCTATACTGGAACTTGCTTTGTAGACCAGACTGGCCTTGAACTCACAGAGATCCGTCTGCTTCTGCCTCCTAAACCTAAGTGCTGGGATTAAAGGTGTGCACCACCACCGCCCGGTTTGTAGCTCTTAACTCTTGGTAATATCATGGGTTCTTATTGAATTTTTCCTGTTGCTCCCATATATTTTCTGAAATTCCTATGGTTTCCACAGCCAGGAAAAACTGACAAGAACAGAGCTGTAAAGACTGAATGGGGCTTCTCCAGAGCGTGGTCCAGGAAAAGGGGGTCCGAGCAAAGAGAGAATTGGGACTGGGGAGAGAAGTCAAGAGAAGACTTTTCTGTATCCTTATTTCTTGTCTGTCTGCTTCTCTGGGCTTTGGAATTCCTGGTGGCACGATCTGGAGTCTAGTTTGTTTACTAATGTATTCTCTAGCATCTAAAAAACCCACGGAACAAAACAAGAAAGTCTTGTGCTTAGTAGGTGCTCAATCAATGCTAATCTAATGAATGAGTGAATGACCTCCACAGCTCTGCTTAGCCTGAGAGACAATGATGCTCCTCAGTTTGCTATCCAGCTGGTGCAGAGCCAAAACTGAGGTACACAGTTTCCATGGCAACTGAAGAAGGGCCAACAGGCCAGCAGCAGGAGGCAGACTCAGGGATTGTGAGCTCTGCTTCTCTTCAAGGTGTAGCCTAGAAACTGGGAACAAGGCAATAGGCTCTGTCAACAGAGGTGGAGTGGGAAAGATCTTCATAAACAGTTCTCCCATTTGTCACCAGGCAGGCTGGTTCAGCCAGTCAATGGGTGCTCAGGTAGGTGAGCTATAAAGGATGGGAGGCTCTAGTCTGGACCCAGACGTGTCACCTTGAACAAGCATTTTAACCCCTCTGAGTCTCCTTCATAAGAGGGGAGGTTTGATGAAAAGGTGTGCAGTGGAGGTGTGAACGCGCAGCCATTGTGGAAAGGTCTGCTGGTTCCACACGAAGTTAAATACAGAAGCTGGGCATGACAGTGTATGCTGTAACTGTAGCACTCAGGAAGCCAAGGCAGGGGATTTCCAGCCCTAGGCCAGTCTGAGCTGTGTGTTGAGATTCTATAAAAACATCTGGATGTTTAAAGTTATAGAATAGATGCCTGTGGGCCCAAGAGATGGGCGAGATAGAGAACCGGGTTATGGAAAATCTCTGGCTTCTGCAGAAGCACCTCCGTGGTCTACTTTGGTATCTTTCCTTGCCTCCAGCTACTTCTCCAAGGGATTCCTGAGTCACTAGGCTTTCTCCAGAATCTGCATTTGCAAAATGCGGCTGTATCCTTTGTTTTCCTTAGAGCACTATGGGTGAGGAGTCCAGAGAACTCTTTTGCAAGGTAAGCCCTCTGGGTACATGTGGTACCCAGTTTTTTTTTTCTTTTTTTTTTTCCTTTTTCTTTTGGACAAGGGATACACAGAGGAAACCTTGTCCTGGAACTCACGTCTGTAGATCCACCTGCCTCTGTCTCCAAAATGCTTGGATACAGGGGTGGGCTGCCACCAGCGCCCGGCAGCATCAGTTTTCTATACATAGCCTACTGAGATCCAGTGCCTAATCATAGGAGCCACTAACGGGGTTCAGACCCCTGGCCAGGAGGACCCATAGCTTAATTGACTCCTGACTCTACCACCAACAGTGTGGGTGCGGGCAAGTCACTCACTTTTCCACTTTGTCTGATGTAAATGTAAACATGCACATCTAACCTGGAGAGAAGTGGATAAGGTGGACGCTGACAAATAAGACCCTTCTCTTTCTGCTCCCCAGCCCTGCCTGAGAAGAACAGGGCCCTAGAAAACACCAGATGTATGTATGCTCTTTCTTGGAACCCTCAACAGCAAGCACTTCTGGCTTCCAGAATCTGCCTCAAAAATGCTGGGACCGACAGATTAAGGCAAAAACAGGATTTGAGCCCAATGGAACAGATCTTTCTTTAGGGTCAGGGAGTTTTCCTCAAATCTTATCCATCATTTTCTCTAGTAAATCTGGACTGTCCTGTCTGAAGAGGGTGAATTCTCCATTAAGAGAGATGCTGCTTTGTCCAGTGTACAGGTTAAGAAACTGGCTCACAGAAGTCAAGTAATTGGAACCAAGACACAACCAGAGAGCTCAGGTCTAGGATTTGAACTAGGGTCCTCTTACAGTGCCACGCCAAGAAGCTTCAGAGAGCGCGTGGCTAGGCTCAAGTTAGGCGCGCGGTGGTGGGAACCTCGAGCCGAGTTTAAAGCCTGGCCCGTTCATTTGCATGTTAATACCCAGAATGCTTTTCCACAGACACCGCTTCATTTAATGGAAGCGCTCAGTTTGGAACCGTGTAAAGTTTGGAATGCGTATTTCGCTCCTCTTGCAACTGTGGGAACTTTGCGCCGGTACACGTGCCTTGCCTAGTCTCAGGCTCTGAGCCCAATGGCTCAGCGGCGGCCCCAGCAAGGCAACCTCCGTGTCCAACTCTCATCTGTAGTATCCTCAAGCGGGTTAGGGACAAAGCGCTCAGGCCTGGCCGCAGGGTCCGCGGTCAGAGTGCCCGGCATTTTGTTGGGCGGCGGGCGGCAGGCGGCAGGCATGCTTCTGGCTTGGGGAAGATCGAGGGCACTTCTCCATCCCTAGGTTCCCTACTTTCCCTCAAAACTGCTGGGACGTGCAGGAGCCGCTGGTTTTGTCCGTCTTGTCCATCGCCATCACTAGGTTGCTTCCTTGAGCAGGCGACTTTACTGCTCCCTGGGGCACAAAGCCCAAGGAGCGGTGGGTGGGGAAAACGACCTATCTCCCTAGTTATCCAGATACACAGGCCATTTGCCTCGGTCAGTACGAGGCGGGCAGAAGGTTCCGCCTGCGTCGGGCCGGGACCCCGCGTCCTTCTTAGGGCTGCAGAACGGGAGAAGGTCGCAGCCGACTTCTGGGGATTTCGGCCATCAAAGGAGAGCTAGGCAGGGTGCTGATGCCCGCCCGACCTGCGGGTGCGCAAGGCAGACTGAAGGGGGGGGGGCTCAGATCCACACGCTCTGGCCGCCCCTCCCGCACGCTCGCCTACACTCTGGGCGGGCAGCGGAGGGGCCGCTGTAGCTGGTTTGCTGGCTCGGCGCTCGGATCGTATTGGTCGGGGTCGGGGAAGGGGGGGCGCTGAGGCTGCAGCCCCCGGCCCCGCGGGCGGGGTGGGGAGGCGGGGGCTCAGGCTGCGCTAGCATTGGCGGAGCTGGGGAGTGGGGAGGGGGGGCAGGAAGCAGGGGGGGAGCGGAGCTGCAGGGGGGGTGTATAAATAGGGAATGGGGGGACGTGCATCCTCCGCTGGGTGAGGGGGGGTGCTCGGCACAAAGAAAGTGGAAAGTTTGCGGCGCTAGGCGGCCCAGGCTAGGGAGCCCGGTGCGCACGTGCGGGGCAGGGACCACCGAGACCCCCCACGCCGAGCTCACTGCTTTTTTTTTCTTTCTGCAAGCTGGGGGGGGTGTTGTTGGTATCGCCCCCTCCTTCTCCTCCCCCCAGGGGTGAAAGTGCAAGAGGAAGTGCAGCCGCTGCCATCTTTCCTCCGTTCCGAACGCACGGAGCCTGGGGCCGCAGCGCCGCCGCTCCGCCGCCACCCGTGCCTGGCCTGGGAAAGGGCCCACCCTGCCGCTGCCACCCACTCGCTTCGGCCGCCGCCTTCGCCGGCCTCCAAGACCCGGCCTACACCACCGCTCCCGTGCGCGCCGACCGCTGCCTTCGCCTTCGCCTTTTGTTTCCTTTGCTCCGGCGCCCCCGCCCCGGCTCGCGCTTTGCAGGGGACGCAGCGCGCGCCCCCAGCGGGCCCGGGAAAAGCCTCGGAGCACGCGCTTGCGCTTGCGCGGCGGACCCCTCCTCCTCCCTGCGCGCGCGCGCGTCTTTTGGCTGCGCGCCGGCGCCGCCTGGCGGGCGGGAGGGGAGGTGGTGGCCGCGTTTGCAAGAGGGGCGCACCTCTTCGCTGGTTTACCCCCTGGAAGGTAGACCGTGAAAAGAAGCCGGGTAGGAGGAGAGCGAGTGCGGCGCCGGGTTCGGCGGGGGGTGGGGTAGCTATGTGGGGGGCAGTGCACCACTGGGTATAGACGTTCTGATCCGGGCAGGGGGCGTGTGCGCTGGGCGCACCTGCGAGGACTACCCAGCACCGGGCCGCACGTGCCGGGAGTGTGATTTGTCCGCTGAGCAAGGCGTCTCGCTGCCTAGGGGAAGGGACTGGAGACCGGCGAGTGCCCGGCCCGACTAACGGGGAGCGGGCAGCGGCCATGGAGCGGGTCAACGACGCTTCCTGCGGCCCGTCGGGCTGCTACACCTACCAGGTGAGCAGACACAGTACGGAGATGCTGCACAACCTGAACCAGCAACGCAAGAACGGCGGGCGCTTTTGCGACGTGCTGCTACGGGTGGGCGACGAGAGTTTCCCGGCGCACCGCGCCGTACTGGCTGCCTGCAGCGAGTACTTCGAGTCTGTGTTCAGCGCCCAATTGGGCGACGGCGGAGCTGCAGACGGGGGTCCTGCTGATGTGGGAGGCGCGGCGGCGGCTCCGGGCGGCGGAACTGGAGGCAGCCGTGAGCTGGAGATGCACACCATCAGTTCCAAAGTGTTCGGAGACATCCTGGACTTCGCTTACACGTCCCGAATTGTAGTGCGCCTAGAGAGCTTCCCTGAGCTCATGACGGCCGCCAAGTTCCTACTGATGAGGTCGGTCATCGAGATCTGCCAGGAAGTCATCAAACAGTCCAACGTGCAGATCCTGGTGCCCCCTGCCCGGGCTGATATCATGCTCTTTCGCCCTCCTGGAACCTCTGACTTGGGCTTCCCTTTGGACATGACCAACGGGGCAGCCTTGGCAGCCAACAGTAACGGTATTGCTGGCAGCATGCAGCCCGAGGAAGAGGCTGCCAGGACCACAGGTGCAGCTATTGCAGGCCAAGCTTCCCTGCCTGTATTACCTGGGGTAGACCGCTTGCCCATGGTGGCTGGACCCCTATCCCCCCAACTGCTGACTTCTCCATTCCCCAATGTGGCATCCAGTGCTCCTCCACTGACTGGCAAGTGAGGCCGGGGACGCCCCAGGAAGGCCAACCTGCTAGACTCCATGTTTGGGTCTCCAGGGGGCTTGAGGGAAGCAGGCATTCTTCCATGTGGTCTGTGCGGGAAAGTGTTCACTGATGCCAACCGGCTCCGGCAACATGAGGCCCAGCACGGCGTCACTAGCCTCCAGTTGGGCTATATCGATCTTCCTCCTCCAAGGCTGGGTGAGAATGGGCTACCCATCTCCGAGGACCCCGACGGCCCCAGAAAAAGGAGCCGGACCAGGAAGCAGGTGGCTTGTGAGATCTGTGGCAAGATCTTCCGAGACATGTACCATCTCAACCGGCATAAGCTGTCCCACTCTGGGGAGAAGCCGTACTCCTGCCCCGTGTGTGGTCTGCGGTTCAAGAGAAAAGACCGCATGTCCTACCATGTGAGGTCCCATGATGGGTCAGTGGGCAAGCCGTACATCTGCCAGAGCTGTGGGAAAGGCTTCTCCAGGTGAGAACGGCCCCTTCCCCCACACTCTACCGTGTACTGTCTTAGTTATGCCTCTTGAGACAGTTCCTTGCCAGGACAAGGATCTGGGGATGTGGATCTTGTGGGGGTGGAGGGTCACTGGACCTTAACAGAGCATGCCATGTTTAGACAAAATGTTTTAAGAGATGGTGTGGCCAAGAGCTGCATCTGTCCCTTCAGGCAAGTTCTCCGACACTCGGGCACTACTATCCTCCTCCTCCCGAGGCCTCTGGGAAGGGGCCGGATTCCTCAGGCCAGGGCCAGTGGGCCTCCCCATTCTTCTCCCCTGGTTCCCTTTGTGTTTCCGGCACCAGGCGTGGGGCCCCCTCTGGGGGCGGGAGGCTGGGCTCCTCCCTCGACTTTCCCCGCCTGAATGGCTGTGGAGGGAGGGCCTGAACAAGTGCGTCTAGGACTCCTTATACTCCCGAGGCCCAGATCCTTCACCGGTTTGAGTAGGTCAGCCAGGAGCTGTAGTTCCCAGCTTTGCCCCTCATGTGACCTAGGATCGAGAGGCGTAAAGCCGGCTATCAGGGCTGTTTTGCAATAGTAATACTAGAATCTGGTGCGCGCTCTGGCCTGCTGGCCCTAGAATCCAGTGAGCCCACAGGTCCTGTGTCTGTTCTCCGACAGATGAAAGGCAGAGGCCCTCTTAAACTTTTAGTGAGTCTTCTTGGTAACTGAGGACTTCCTGGGAGCAGGGGGCTGGGTTTTTTTTTTTTTTTTTTCTTTCCAGTTTGAGAATATTGAATAAAAGGCTGGTTTTAACTGGAATCCTGAGGACCTTGTGTGTGTCAGCTTAGGGACAGGGAATTCCCTCAGAGGGGCCCCAACTTCCAACCAGTCTTACCGGTCAGACAGCCCCTGCCCACCTGCTCTGGCGGGCATCTGGCCTGCCAGCCCAGCTGGGGACTTAAGGCTCCATCCCTGGCCTCTGGGGACTGAATTCCATCCGGGTGGCATTCATTGGCTGCTGTGGCGGGAGAGGCTGGGGGAGGGGAATGCAGAGCTTCTAAGGGGCTTTAGTCTGGACAATGAGTTCCACACCCCCCTCCCAGAAAGGCTGGGGCAAGGCATCCCTGTGTCATTCTAAAGCTGCTGCCTCAGGTCCTAGGAATCATTGAATTTCTACTGGGGGTGGGGTGGGTGGGGTGGGGTTAGCTAGATCAGAGAGAAACATTTGCTTCCCCTCCCCCTTGGGGGGGGGTTGAGATGCTTGGAGCCAGAGCTGGGTGGTGACTTTGTCTTTGTCTTGCTGGGGTGGAGTCCTCCCTAGGAGGGGGTTGGGGAGGAGGGAGGGAGACTGACCAAGTTTGGTCCATCTTTTTTGATGTCTTCTTAAAGTCTGTTGCTCTCTTCTCCAGGCCTGATCACTTGAATGGACACATCAAGCAGGTGCACACTTCTGAGCGACCTCACAAGTGTCAGGTAGGGATGGGACCAGGGTGGAGTTGGGTGGAAGAATGTGTTGGTGTGCTCTGAGCCTTGGCCATTGGCAGGCTGCTGTGTCAGCCAGCTGACTGACCACTGCTTTGCACACACCTCCCACTCTGTCTCTCCAGTGTCTCCCTCTGCCCTCCTTTGTTCTAGACCCCAGCCCTCTTTGCTTTTCCCAGGGCTGAGATCCTCTTTCTTGGTTACTTGGTTCTGTTCCTTAGCTTTCCTGTCCTGGCCTTTTCAGGCTTCTGGCTGGTGGGCCACACTGCCACAAGTGTTGTCCTGGTGGGTCTGACACCTTGCTGGGCCTGGCTGCTGGTTTCCAGTAGTTTTTATGAACTGTAGGGATTTCAAAAGGGCTTCTGCTGGCCCAGCTAACAACCCTTCCCCTGGTTTGAGCTGAGTCAGAACTCAGGTTCCATCAGTGGAGAAAGCATGGCATTAGGAGAGGCTGGAGGTAGGGAGAGGGTGGTCCCATCTCCAAGGCAAACAGCAGGAGCAAGGCAAGGCATCCTCTTCCAGTGTGGAGTCTCATACGGCTGGACTGGATTTTCTCCTGTCTGCTTGAATTCTGTCTGGAGGCTCCACGGGCACCTAGAAGATGAGCTTTCCTTCCCGGCCTCTAAGCATTTCTGTGTGATGAAATACACACCACTGTCTTCTTGGTTGTTTTCCCCTCTGCTATGGCAAGTGTCTTCACCTGATTTCAAGACAGTGTCGGGAGATGCTCCTATAGTCTCTGACAGGGATAGCTACTTCTAACTTGTCGGCCAGCGCAGGTTCCGGGAGGTGAGAGGAAGGAATGGATGTGCACAGGAGGGCAGAGTTCCAAGGACTAGGGGTAAGCCTTCTTCACAAAGGCATGGCTAGGCAGACTCTCCCAAGGATGCTGACTCAAGATAGGCCTGCTGGAATCTGTCTTTGCCTTGCTGCTTTCTGCCTCTCCATCTCTGACTCTGTTGTCATAGAGCACATTCTGATTCCCAGGTAGTGTGCTGAGCAGCCCAGGCAGGATAGGAGGAGCCCAGAGGGCAATGGGGGTGTGCCCGATGGCCTGGGGGGGTAACCTGCACTCTCTGCCCTTTTTCCAGGTGTGGGTTGGGAGCAGCAGCGGCCTGCCGCCCCTGGAACCTCTTCCTAGCGACCTGCCATCATGGGACTTTGCCCAGCCTGCTTTGTGGAGGTCGTCCCATTCAGTTCCTGATACCGCCTTTCCCCTCTCTCTAAAAAAGTCCTTCCCAGCCATTGAAAACCTGAGCCCAGCACACTCCAGCAATGCTCTCTTCTGCCCAGCCCCGCCAGGATATCTGAGGCAGGGTTGGACAACCCCAGAGGGTAGCCGGGCCTTTACTCAGTGGCCTGTAGGCTAGCCTGGGTCCTTCTGGAGTGGTGGAGGGGAGTGGTGGCTAGCTGGAGACCATGCTTTTGGGAGAAGCCAGCAAGATGGTTCGTGCCCACCATTCCCAGATCTTCCCAGCTGAACGCTCTCAAATAGTGATTAGCAAGGAATGCCCCTCCCCGGTCTCTTTCTGAACACTCTTGTCTCCCCTCCCCCTACCTTGACAGGGGATACCCTGGGCAAGCAACCTTGTCTGGGTGACTCTGGAAGTTGGCGATTGTCAGGAGCTAAGCCCCACCTGTGTGCTTCCCTTTCCATGGCCTCACTTCTCCTACTGATTGGGGTTTCTGGCCACCTTCCTCCCACTTGGGAGTAACTCCACCTCCCGAGAAGCGTCTAGCACAGCTTCAACAAGGGTCCATTGTGCTCTTGTGCTCTTCCTCCTCACAAGGTCCTGCTTCCATTTCTGCCTAGTGAGTTAGATGCTCATGGTTGAGGTTTTTTTTTCAGCTGCTCTGCTCAGAACTAAACTAACCAGTAGCTTTGTATTGTGATACATGGCTTTAGGGGCTGACAAAGCAGATAGACACTCCCTCCCCCAGGTTCCTTGGTGTGTCCCTTAAGCCCTGCATACTCTGCTGGGAGATCAGGAGTGAAGATAAAAGTTTTC